ACACATGTGTAACCAATACAATAACCAAATGAAGTTCCAGGTGCCCCAAGAGGTGTAGCTGGTATTTGTAGTTCAAGAAAGCGAGTACGATGGCCAACCATGTAACCATGCTAGGCTGAAAGAGCTCATAGCAGACTCGGTAGGAAGGACCCGAGATGAACCAGTTATTGATTTGTAAAGCACCCAAGATGTTGGAGGACCTGACTGCGGCACAGGAACCAAGCAGCCGGTGCCAGGCTCACACAAACACTTCCTCCTCCCTGCCTGCTCTCCCTGCTCCTCCAAAGGATGCCGGGGAGGAAGTTGCCTTTATTCATCCAGGCAGTCAATGAGCGTGGATTAAATGTTCCCGGATAAATTACTTCAGGAAGCATTTTTAGCTGCTGAATGCAGTCTGTGGGAAACACCTGTTTGGTTTCCACGTCCTGAAACCATGGAACAACGGTTGAGAGGTACGACTGCAGGCATCCCTGGGACTCCAGCAGGCGGCTTACATTATAACTCTCATTTTTGTACAATGGAGAAAAAGAAAGGAGGAAAATGATAACGTAACAACGTAGACAACTTGGGAGTTAACAACATGACCAAGCAAATTCAAGTCTGAGATCAGTTCCAGGCATCCAAGGAGCCTGGCAGACATTAAGGCCACACTGGCCAAAGCTAAGTGAGGTAGAAAGGGGGGAGGAAAAAAAAAAAAGTAAATTCAAGACCAAAACATGCAGGAAGGGCAATGTAGTGCTCCAACACTCCTACATCCTCTTCTCTGTTGAGCTCCACATAGCGCCCGCTCCCTGCGGGGGAAGGTGCCAGTCCACCTCCCATGACCTCGTTAGCTCCATGGAGGCCACACAGCATTCTGGGCACCTCCCCTCCCGCCCCCTCCCTCCATCCCACCCAGAGGGAGATAAGCCATCTCACTTGGCTTTTATTCAAAGGGCTTTTAGAGAATGACTTAAGGTGGTTTGGCAGGCAGCCACGGCACACAGTATAACCAACCAACCAAGCGGTGGTGTGGCTGGCCCCAGCCTGGTCCCAGTCACACCATCAATGGACACACAAGAGCATCAGCCCGACCGAAAAGGCAGAACTTCGCACCGATGGTGTTATCTCTACGCCTGCCATTTAAGGAGACTAAAAAAGGCATTTTAGGAACAACTGCATTCCCCATGTGGTCAGACTTGATGATCTTAAAGGTCTTCTCCAACCATAGAGATTCTGTGATTCCATAGCCATAACAAAGCCTCAGGAGACACGCGAGGCTACTGTCACTTCAAGACAGTTTTAGTAAATCACAGTAGATCCAGTTGGTGATGTTCAAACACGCTGTGGCTGATCTGCATCCACTGGACTCCTCCGCACTCTTTACAGCCACGTACCATGGATGGTACTGGCAGACCAACACTAACAG